CGCCCGGGCGCGGCCCTGGTGGCGGTGTGGGGCGCGGGGCGCCAGATTGGCGGACGCGCTAGCCCGGCGGCTGCGGCGGCGGAGAGCGTCAAGCTGATCCAGGACCAGGAGGCGGAGTTCGGGAATCTCGGGGACCTCGCCCAGGAGCAGTTGAGCGCTTTCCGTCAGCGGCGCGGCCGCTTGTGAAGGCATGGCGGCGGCGGTTCCGCCGCCAGTGCAAGGCTTCGGGGGCGAGGCTGGAGATTTCGCAGCGGTTCAGTACAACGCGCCGGGCGCCCCATTATATCATGAACGGCCCGTGCTGAACGAGCCGGGCGCTGGCACCACCGTGAGCGTGCTGGCGCCTGACGGGGACAATTACGAGCAGGATTGGTTGCAAGGGTTCGACATCGTCTGGTTCGGGCTGATGGCTGGCGGGGCTTGTGGCAGCGCTGCGCCGCCGAGCGCGGGAGGGCTCGCGGTGCCAGTCTACCGTTTCCAGCGTGTGCCGACGCCTGCGATCTTCCAGGCTGCGCGCGATGCTGCCGCGGCGCGAAGGGGCCCCCCCGTGCCAGGTGATGGCAAACAGCCTTAATTTGGCTGGACGGGCGATCGCCGCAGGCGCTGGAGCCGCTCCCGCCGCATCCGCTGGAGCCGCAGATCCAGGGCTACCCACTGTTGGTGCTGGGGCCGGTGCTCTGGCTGCTGCAGTCGGGCCTGCTCCTGGAGCCCCAGACGCCGCATGACTTGGCGTCGGAGGAGGAGTCCTACCTGGCGGAGTTCTGCTGCTGCCGCTCCTATCGCGCCCGGGGCCGCGGCCGATGCTGGACAAATGGTGGTTCCCCCCGCTGTGGGGCTTGGTGGCGTGCTCGTGCCCGCTGGAGCTGCTCCTGCCATGGCTGCGCCTGGAGGTGCCGCGGTGCCCACCCTAGACATCCGCATCCAGCCCGTCGGTCACGATGCATCGGGCGGTCGTTGCAGGGCGTTTCGCCTCGCCGTCGAAGGGGTGGGGGGGACCTCATGAATGACTTCCCGGTGAGGGGGCCGAGGGTGATGTTGCGGCTGCGTCGGTTCATGGTATCCAACGGCCAGACCCCACTCGGTAGACGCGCGCGGTGGAAGGCAGACGCCAAGTTGCAGAACAATGATGGCGGCGTCGAGGATCATCTCAGGTGCTGCCAAATGTTGGAGAGCATGGCTACGTTCGATCAAGTTAATATTCCAGGCGTCGC